AAAAAAAAAATACAAACAGTGAATAGATCTTTTCGATCCATTATTTTTACTACTACTACTACTACTACTTGTACATGAAAGAAATAAACTCTTCTCCTCTTATGATGATGCTAGTCTGGTGTACAACAAAAAATTTAAATATATAAAAAAAATATTGAAAATCTTTAAAAACGACAAATTTCTATTTTTGTAAAACTTAATACAAGAAAAAAATATTAAAACAGAAAAAAACATACATAAATATATTTATTATTATCATCATTATAAAATGTTTAAATTAGCAGCATTGGAAAAGAAAAATCTGCAAATAACTAAACAGCAAGACAGACAGACAGTTGGAACTGACGCAGAGACAGATATCTGTATGATCGTGTTGTTGATCATGTACTGTTTGATGATGATACTCTAATACTTATGAACTTGTTGTCGGTTTTTCATAAAGAGCATAATGATTAGGATGACGATTTTTCATAATGATGAAGATGATGAGGATGATGCAAAACTATCTCTAAGTTTAAAGATCATTATAGTTGCTCTATAAGCAAACTAAAAAATGAATCTGCTAAAATGAAAATTTCATTCTTTCTCTTCTCATAATTTTAATAATAATGATCATCATCATTATTCAGAATTTTCATTTTTTCATCTAAGAGATGAATTTATAGATTTCTATTTTCTGCCAACGTCTATACTTTTTGGACAGAAGACTAAAGACGACAAAAACAACAAAAAAAATTAATTTTAAATTATTAATAACAACATGGCACATGTAGGTATCCATGAGATACACACAAATGTTGTATTAAAGTTCGTTTATATTATATATATTTTTTTTTTTTTTCTTTAAATGAAAATCTATGTTTTTTAATTTTATTCGACGAATATTCTTAATTTTTTTTTGTGTGTCACAAGACAAATAAACATTTATTTATTGAATGTTTAACATTTTAACAGAATTCGAAACCTGTGAGTGTGTATTAATAATAAAAATAATCAGACATTTTTATAGTTTGGAACAACAGAATACGTAAGCATTCGAATATTTTTTTGAGTGTCATTTACTTATAGCATGATGTATTTAGAATACCCTACAGGTGATACAATGTTAGCCCCACTTTTCCACTTTAGTATCGTTTCTTCGCACCGGTTCTTTATAAAACCCTGACTTATTGACAGTAGACTTAAAAGCTTTCATCTATCTTTAAGTTCTTTCTTTGGTACTTTTTAGACTTGGTATTATAACCTTCTCTTGACTCCGTTCTTTACTCAGTAAAATTTTCATCAGAAGTTCCGAACGTGTAACTCCAATGCTATCAAATAGTTCGAATGTTTGTCCATCGCACAGAATAGAATTATTGTCGAAAAGGTATTCGAATCATTTCCCATTCGAAATGTCAACGATCATTACCTCAATAATCCGAAAGAGTTGATAATCATTGTTTGAATAAAAATCGCCCCGTTCCATATCTAAAATGCAATAGTCCAAATAATTGATAATAGAACAGTATTTGAAACGTGTCATTCACACTGTTTCTGAGAGGTCTATCCCACTTTCGGCTAAACATACAAATGATAGGCAGAAGATCGCTGGAGAGGTCTTTCCCACTTTCAAATTATTACGTAATCGAAATATTGGCTATCATTGTCCCAGTGATCCTCTCCCCGGGGGCATGTTACCTTGGTGAAATCTCCATCTTGGTGTTATTGCAATATCCCGGGAAAAAGAGGTGCTAACAATACCTCTAGTCTGCCGGGACTATAAAATGGTGATGATCAAATGTATCCTCGGCCTTTCCTTGGAATGATTTGACATGTTGTCTAACCAGAGTACCATATAATCTGGCACTAAGGGTGGCCAGTTGCCCGCAGGACTTGTCCTGGCTGGTCAGTTGGTTGAGATTCCATGGGGATCAACGTAGTGGCGGTGGTTTATACCCAAATTCGCGGGGAAAAAATGTTGGTTTAAGGACTGATATATCCAAATGCCATATATGTCCGGTTTATCTCTCCGGTTCTTTTGCCATCTCAACAGATGTCACTAGGTGATGTGACAGATTAACTTATGCTGGATTCCTGAACCTGTTGAGTATATCTTACTCTTCGCGTAAGGGTTCCAGTATAGGTTGGGAAATTTTCAGCTTGACACTTGGTAGTTGCCTGTCATCCCGTAGATCGTTCTTTATGGTCTGAGAATGGAACTGATGTAATTGGTAAACGATCGGGAAAGACTTCACTGCCCGACAAGAGACTAGTACTGATTTAGTAGATCTTTTACTTCAGGGAAGTTCTCGGTGCTGTTGCCATCTCAACAGGATTCATATTGTTTTATGCTACACATGATTATGGTCCGTTCCCTCAACTTGTCGGGGCAATTATTGGGTTCGAATTGACTTTGGTAATTTCTACATCCTTTGTCACATTGTTTGACATACAGAGCGATCCTGATTTATTGGCTGAATATTTCGGACTACCAAATACATCTCTAGGTGCTGTTGTGCGGGCTTTAAGAGGTTCAGGAATGCACTGGAATGGGTCATTAGTTGATGGGGATTGCATTTTAACAATGCAATTTTGCATGACATGATAAGAGTGTTCTCCTTCCGGTATACCGGAAGATTGATTTCACCAGATGTTGGGGTTTGTCGCCCCTTTTATTGACTTTAGACCAGTGATTGTTTTTTCCTTGTCGGGATTTGCATTGGGATTGATCCCATACTGCCGGTCATTCCGCAACGCGGCTGCTATGGCAAGAGATTAGATAGCTCGAGTTCTTCAGCTCAGCCATGTAAAAAAATTGCCACCTGAGTTCTGAGTCTCAATAATTTAGAATTACATCCAGATATCTTTTCCGAACTCTATTTAAAACGTGTCCATTACACTGTTTCCCACTTTCGATTGATCATCCAAACAATGAGCAGAAGATCATAGTCGAAACGGTAATCGAAATATTCATCATTACCTCAGTGATCCCAAAATGACTAATGTTTGCTCGAAGAGATCATTTCAGTACAGTTGAATATTTGAGTGAATGAGATTCGGATTACTCCGAAGCTAAATATCAATAGTTTTGGGAATTAAAACGTGTCAGATTCTTTCTTAGTTATAACTTTAGAAACATCTTCCCAGAAGAGTTATTGATCGTGTCTCAATGAAATTAGGGTTATAACTCAGCAAAATAGAACTATAATCAAACTGTTTCCAAAAAGTTTTTTCCACTTTTGACTGAACATCCAAAGAATTAAAAGATCATTGTTGAAACCGAATTCCGTAATCAATCGTTTCAATGAGATTCAAATCATTTCGAAATCTAAATTCAATTGTCATGCAAGAAACAACGATCATTGATTTAAGGAGATTCCGGTCTTCCCGAAAGGAAATCCGATTAAGCTGAACGATTCGTGTCGACTAATTCTAAAGGGATAAGGAAATGTTAATTTTAAAAACGAAACTCAATCTGAGTTAAATTCCATTATTCACAAGCGATCGAAATTTCGATTAAAATTCTGTTATATTCCATTCAGACATTTTGATCACTTTCGAACCTGAATTTCGAAACATGAAATTAATAGTTTGTTGTTTCTAAGAATTGACAAAAGGAGGTCCGGGTTTTCCCCCGAACTGAAATTAATTTGGCATTTGAATATTTTATTAAAAGGAGTGTTTTTATGGAAAAACATACGAATGATGATTTCACCATTATAGTTCCGGTACCAAAATTCAATTAATCTTTAAACAGTTGCCCTTCCAATCTTTCTTAATCATTGTTTAAAAGGAGTAAAGGTGATTCTGAATGAAATATATTACGGTGTAATATGAAATCTTAGAATCAAACCGAAAAAAAACTTTGAACGATAAGTTGCCGACCATTGCCTATACGGCATTGGGATCATTCTGAAGTCAAAATTCAATTGACCAAAAAACTTGACTCCTTAAAATGAATTGACAATCATTGACCGAAGGAAATAGGGGCTATGACGAATTTACTATATATTTCCGCAAGTTGATGATCATTATCTTAATGGAATAAGAATCCCCCGAAACACTTTTAAACGACCATTTGGAACACCGCAACACAAACTTAAGTTTGCAATGCATCATTAATAAATCCCATCAATTAAAGGTCGTAAATAGATCCACAATGATACCTCATGTTAACCACTACAAAGTTGATGTTTTTTATTTCATTCCAATTTTTACAAAGGGTGATTACCAATCGACCATGTCTCCCCTGTAGCTCTCTAACACTCGACAACTTGTATTCGTTCCAAATGACTAAATGCAAAGAGATTTTTTAGTTTTGTTTTTTTCTTAATTTGTAATATTTTTAGTTTAATGTGACAAAATAATCGTTATGAATATTTAAAAGAAAATTTACTAAATTAAAACACAAACAATACTAAATTTACAAAAAAAAAAAAGAAAAACATGGTTTTCTTTAAAATATTCTTTTTTTTTAAAAAAAGTCATCTAAAAAGTTTATCTTGTTAAAGCGTTTTTTTCGTTTTTAATTTTATCTAAATGTTTTGTTGTTATTGTAATTTTATTGTTTTTCGAATTGTTTGTTGTGACTTGGTTTTCCTTAAATTTAGTTGTGTGTAGAATGTTGTTGTTGTTGTTTCTTTTCGTTGAATTTGTTAGTGTGAAGATCATTGTTTTTTATTTATTTACGAGTTCATATTTGTGAGTTGTCGCTTCGTTGTCGACTTTGTTTTTGTTGTCTGCTGTTGTGAGAGAGTTTTTTTTTTTTTGGATGATAATGGTTGACAGCTACATATCATAATGTATTTAATCGTGTGTGAAACAACAAATTATTTTACACGCCCCCAATATTTGTGGTATTTTGTTGTTAGTAGTTTGGTTTTGAAACCAACAACAAAAAATTATAATAATATTGGACCCAAAATTAAAATATTAATAAATATAAGTAGAGTGTGCGAGTTTTTTTTACTCTGTTTTAAATATTTTATTTTTTTTTTTTTCTTCTCTTTTTTTCTGTCTAGTGTCGTCGTCGTCTTCATTGTTGTTGTCGCTGACTGTGTCTGTGGTATTAAATTAACAGCTGTTTGAAGGATGTGTGAACAACACTGGGCTTTTAATGAGGTGACCTTGTTGTTATTTTTTTTTTGTTTCTTTGTTTTTTATACCCTACACCACTTTAGTGGGGAGGGTATATTGGATTTGTGCTGATGTTTGTAACAAACAAAAATTTCCGTCCTAGACCCACCTTAAAGTATACCAATCGGCTTAGAATCGTTTTCTGAGTCGATTAAGCTATGTCCGTCCATTTGACCCTAGCTCCCATACAAAGTCCCCTTCAGAAAATTACTTGAATGTCCCAAATTAACTTATAAACACAAATATCGCGATGAAATTCAGCACAATAAAATATTATGTAAATATAAATATATTCACAAAATTTTATCGGGCTTGGTCCATATTTGCCCCTAGCCCCCATATAAAGCCTCTTTCAGAAAATTAGTTTTTCATCCATAAATTGCTTAAATGTATCGGAACAAGGGAATATTGAAAATAAATGCTTTACTATGAAAAATACATCACATTTAATATTTATAACTGGTGTAGGGTATCATATGGTCGGCCTCGCCCGACTATACTTTCTTACTTGTTTTTTTTTTTTTAATTTATTATAGATTTTTTATTGTTTTATATGTTTTAATGGTTAGCGCATTTAATAGCAGCCAATACACACTCACACAAAAATAATTAGAATATTGAAAATTGTTTTAAAAAAATTTATGCTTTTGAATTTTGGCGAAAAAAAAAATAAACACATAAAGTTGCATTTAATATGTTCTCTAATAAAAAATTCACCCCCTATTCTGCATTTCAATTCTAATCGAAATTTTCTCCGTTTGGCAACTTTGGTATTCTGCCTTTCGATTCTACTCTCCGCCACATAAACCACAACTAATGCAGAATACCCCAAAATCGTCAAGCATTGAAATAAAATGGAATTGCTTCTTCTTTTTCTTACGATTTCGTTTTTTGTTGGAATACCAATCGAAATGCAGAATAGGGGGTTTACACAGAAAACATTCAAAGACTATGATCTTCCTATATTTTTATACATTTTGATCACAACAACCGATCAAGAAACTGGTAGAGGATCTTGATCTCGTATATCTCTTTCACGTATACGGGACACCGGTGTCCCAAATTCGATGTCACTACATGCTTTTTCCATTTTTCATCAAAAATTATCGATACACGTCAAAATAAAGCGTGTGGTAAAGTCATATCCGTAAAAAGTCCAGCGGTTTAGTTTTGTGCGGGAAAGGGATATCAAGACACAATCTTTCTTATAAACACTTGGGTTTCTCAAGAACACTGTGGCGCTTTTCGAGGGATCTTTTATAAAATTGCAAAAAAAAAAATTGCTGAAATTTGATCGTTGATCGTGACGTAGTCATCTTAAATGTAGGAATAGTAAAATCGAATTGTCTTGGGACACATTCGACTTAAATCCCCTAATAATGAATTGATGATCATTATGTATACTAAAAGCATTTAAGTGATCCCGGAACTAAAATAATTTTCCATGTTTAAAACCACTAATCATACTGATCTTCGCTCCGCTATGGCTAAAATGTAGTGTGATGTTAAATTTAATGAAAATATTAAGGACAGTCTTGACCCTATCCGCGTTTTCTATCGATATAACCTTTCTAATAAAACTTCTCACGATCAATGATCACTATCAATTAACTAATCAATTGATAGCGACTATTGATCGGAATACATTCGGTTGAGACACGTTAAAGCAAAAAACTCCTAATAATAAGTTGATCATCATTCAAGAGAGAGATTTGGTTAATAGGAATAATCGAGAAATTATTTTAATTCGATCACGATTAAGGTTGGTTGTTATCGTGCTAATGCTACGCCTAAACATAGAGTCGAAAACGCATCTAAATTGAGTTGATGATCATTATACAAAAAGCATTTAAATGATGCCGGAACTGAAATATTTTGTCATGTTTAGAAGAACTGATCATACTGATCTTCTCTCCGCTATGGTTAAAATGTTGTGATGTCAAATTTAATAAAAATATCAAGGACAGAGTCTTGACACTTTCCGCGCTTTCTTTCGATATAACTGATCGAAATACAATCGGTTGAGACACATTAAAACAAAAATCTTCTAATAATAAGTTGGAATGATAATTCATCAATCGGTTGAGACATATTAAAGCAAAAATTTCGTAATAATAAGTTGATGATCATCATTCAAGAGGTATTTGGTTAATGCGAATAAACGAAAAAATATTTTAATTTGATCGCGTTTAAGGTTGGTTGTTATCGTGCTAATGCTACGCCTAAGTCGAAAACGCCTCTAAAAATGTTTAAAATCTCCTAATAATGAGTTGATGATCATTAAACAAAAAGCATTTAAGTGATCTCGGAATTGAAATATTTTTCTACGTTTATAACAACCGATCATACTGATCTTCTCTCCGCTATGGCTAAAATGTAGTGTGATGTCAAATTTAAAGAAAATATCAAGAACTCTCTTCACATCTTCCTTTCGATATAAGTTTTTTAATAAAACTTCTCACTGATTGGTTAATTGACAGCGATCATTGATCGGAATACATTCGGTTGAGGCACATTAAAGTAAAAATCTCCTAATAATGAGTTGATGATCATCATTCATAAGGGATTTGAGTAATACAAATAACTGATACAAATATCTGTATTTAATCGCTATTAAGGTTGGTTGTTATCGTGGAAATTCGCTAAGCCTAAATGTAGAGCGAAATACGACTCGTAAACAAGATCACAAAACTTGTCAGATGTTATAGTATTAAATTCAACCTGCAGCCGTTAGATATCTTAGTAGGTCATTAAGTCCTAACCGAGATATCTCAAGGTTGGCTATAGCTCAACTACCATAGGGGTATCTATTGCACTTATCGTTTAGGACAGGGCATTCGCAGAGAAGGTGGAAAAGCATTTCTTCTTTTTCCTTATCATTGCAACTATGAGACAATTCATTGAAGATAGAAAAAACCTCTATATGTTCTGCAAATTAAAGGTTATAAGTTCCATAGTAGGTTTTTCATCGAATCACATTTACCTGGTCAAACATAAAAAATTTTCATCGTTATATTTTCTGATAATCAAAATTGCCTCCTAGAAGGAGTCGAACTTAACAAACTTAGACAGTTGAAGGGTATTCGAGGTAATTGGAAGATTGGATTCGTTACATATGCAGTCGCAACAACTTATTGTTTGAAACCTTTAAAAGTCACTCTTTAAAAAAGAAACAATCACGAGTCTTTCATCTGTGTCTTGGACCTCCTAAACACCGACAAACTGATCAATTAGGAATGGAAAGCATTTGAGTCCAATAGGTTACACATTACAAGATCATGTACTTTACGTATGATACGTATCGAAGACTAATGTACATTTTCGTAGATTTTGAATTACAATCAAAATCTTCAAATTACAAGCTTTACTGTTCGATGCCTTACGAAGTGGATTGCTCGCAATTTATCGGGGCAATTCCGAGATCATTTGACAATTTGAAGAAAACAAACTTCATTTATTTAAAGCTTTACTATGCCTTTGATCGAATCACATTCATGCAAACGCATGACTTTTCGATGCCTTACGATTATAGGGTCAATTCCGAGGTCATTTGACACGTTGGGATGCAGGTGTTTCTAAAAAATTCCATTATATTCGTATAACATCTGTTCTAGTATTTGAACATTTATGTTTTTTAAGAGTCTATAGGCGGAGCTATATATCATATGGGTAAAAAGGTTAACCTAATGAATACAAAACCGTTCGATACAACGAGAACTGAATTAGAAACATGAAGAAGAGAATCCCATACGGTGTCGAGACCCTAACGAGAGTAAAACACTAAGCCTACTCACAATAAAGAAGTTATAGTATAGTTATAGTTATACAAATTTGAAGAACGGATTTCAAACGAATGTAGATGCGCTACAGATGGGAAAATCACACTCTGAATAATTTTAAATATTTCGATTTTTCTTAGAAATTAGATCCAATTATCTCGAGAGTGATATTATTCCATTGTTTGGAAAACTCTAAAAAAACTACATCCAGGAAACTGAGTTTCTGAACAAAGGATAATAATGCTTTTATAGAAAACTATAAGGTCGAGGATCTAACAATATATGATTGGTCATATAACACGATCAGCTTCAATTTTTAAAAATAAAGATCTAAGATAAGTACGAGTCAATAAATTCATAGTTGTGGTCGCCTTTAGAAATCACATCTCGCTATGATCATTATCATACATTTTCAAACAAAAATATTATTGATCGTTTAACGCTAAAGAACGCGATCATCCTTATTTTCAAACAAATTATAATTGATCATGTTGTACTAACGAACCTCAGCTTCATTATTAAAGATAAAGATCTAAGATAATCCCAGATTCCATAGGAAATACTGGAGATGTGACAAATCATACGACCCAATAAATTCATAGTTGTGGTCGCCTTTAGAAATCACATCTCGCTTTGATCAATATCATAAATTTTCAAACAGAAATATTATTAATCGTGTAATACTAACGATCGCAATCATCTTTATTTTCATGTTGTGCAAACGATCTTCTATATTTTGAAACCAAAATATATTTTGGTCGTGTAACGCTAACGATCGCAATCATGCTTATTCTCCAACAAAATATGATTGATCATATTGCGCTAACGATCTTCATTGACTATAACACGAGTCTCAGCTTCATTTTTAAAGATCTTAAGATAAGCCATGGTTCCATAGGAAATAATGGAGATGTGACAAATTGTATAACCCAATAAAGCCATGGTTATGATCGTCGTATAACACTTAGTGACATGCTGTCGAAGTCATTTTTGATCGAGTAACGCTAACAATCGCTATCTTGTTTAAATATGATTGATCATGATGTGCTAGCGATCTTCATTGACTATAACACGAGCTTTAGCTTCATTTTTCCAAGATAAAGATCTGGTTCCATAGGAAATAATGGAGATGTACCTACGATCCAATAAAGCCATGGTTTCTTGTTTATTTTCAAACAAAATATGATTGATCATAATGTGCTAGCGATCTTCATTGACTATAACACGAGCTTTAGCTTCATTTTTTTTTTTAAGATAAATATTTAAGATAATCCCTGGTTCCATAGGAAATAATAGAGATGTACCTACGATCCAATAAAGCCATGGTTATGATCGTCGTATGACACTTAGCGACATGCTGTAGAAATTATATCTTGCTTAGATCTATAACATCTATATTATTGATCGTGTAACGCTAACGATCGCATTCATGCTTATTTTCAAACAATTTATCATTGATCATGTTGCGTTAACGATCTTCATTGACTATAACACGATCAGCTTCAGTTTTGAAAAATAAAGAACTAAGATAAGCCTATAACTTTTATACTTCCCGATCAAGTATCTCTATCCACAATTTAAACCTTTTCTTTCCTTTTATTAACTTTTAAAGCTTTAATAAAGACAGTAATCTAAAAAAATTTCTTTATAATTCTAGTCTACGAGATAATCGTGACAAATACACATTTAATACAAGAATTAATCAATTTAAGATTAAATCTTTTTAACGATTTAAATAATAAGGAATTAATAATTCTATTTGAGAAAAAACGATTTAATTTCTAAACCAAGTGTTAAAGAGACATTTAAAATAACGTGTATAGAGCAAAGTAACAAATGTTATTATCAGTAGATAATCTAAATCGATTAACAGCATAACAAGACTATTGACAAGACGACTTTGAGTATAGAGTTTAACAGCAAGTATAATCATTATAAATCATAAGCTGCATGGATGTTGGTGTTATTGGTAGTGGGGCTTGAAAGTAAATAAATAGAAATAGTTTTTTTTTTTATGAAGATAAAAAACGAAAATGTTTATTTGTTTAAAAATGAGATGAAAGATAAAGCACAGTGTAGGGAATATAAGAAATTGTAAAAGGTGTTAAAAGTAAATATGTTACAACAAGATAGATAGACAGACGGACGGATGGATGGATGGATGGACAGACAGACAGACAGACGGACGGACAGACGGATGGACAGACAGACAGACAGACGCGGGAAAGTAGAGAGGGACGTTGAGCTATAGACATAAAGTCTATGGTTTTTGTTATGTTTTAAGAAATATAGTGGAGCTGTGTGTGTGTGCTTTACAATTTTCACACTTCTTGATTTTGATAAAACTGTTTAAATTGAAAATTGTTGTTGTTGTTGTTGCCCACAGATTCAGGGTTTAAAAACTAAGATCTTAAAGATTTTAAAGAAACCAAACAGCTAGAAAGAGTAAGCTGTTAATAAAGAGTAGGACAGCTATAACAAGGAGAAGTAAATTAGGGGTAGAGATGTTTAAAAATGGTGCAATATTTAACATAGCTACCTGTATGAGTGTGTGTGTAAGAGCAAGAGGAAGAAGTGTTTAATTATAGTAGAGTGTTAACGGATATCCGGTCTTTTGGTTTATAGAGTATAATGTATTATACAGCTACAATGTTGCTAAACATGTTGCCAAACTACCTGTTAAACTAAAAGAGTAGGAAAATGTTGCCGCAATCTAAAGCAAAAGAGCGTAAAAACATTTTGCATTGAATATTGACCTGCTCTCGTTATAGAGCAACATTTTTTCCGAGGCTTCGTGTATTGGCGACAGAGCTAGTGATCTACAGTATGCAGCGAGTATTAGAAGCGAACGTGCGCATAATTATTTTGAAAAGCGAACAAAAATTAAATTATTTTTTTTTTGAAATAAAAGAGTAAAATATTGTGTTATAAATTTTTTAAGAGTTTTTTGTTGAAATTGAAAAAAGTATAATTGGCACGAGAGCAACAGACAACAACCAACCTCTTTTTTTTCAATTTATATTGTTTTGGTTTTTTTTTCTATAATAAAAAACAAGAAAGAAAAAAAATTATTTGTAGTGAACGGATACAAGTAGATGTGAATGTATCTCAATATCTTTTGAAAGAAAACGAAGAAAAGAAAAAAATAAAAACAAAACCGCAAAGTAAAGAGTTTTTCTAAAATACAAAAGCAACAACAACAACAGGCAGAAAATTTTGTGTTTTTGTTGGGTTTTGGATGTGTGAGCTCGTTAGTTTATTTATTCAACGACCGATACCGTGTGTGGACATTATTTTCCGAAACGCGCAACATAACACAACACACAACTTTGTGAGGCTCTGAAAAGCCAATAACTGCAACATTTTTATAAAATTTAAAAAAAAAAATTAAACGAATTATTTAAAAAAATTTGATTAAAAAAAAACAGTTTTAAAACGAATTTATTAAATAAAATATCTATAAGATATCTCATCAAACAAACAAACGTGTGTATCTTTTTTTCTTCTTTAAACAACAACTACTACAACAAAAAATCGAGTTTATTTAAAGAAAACAAAATATAAATAAAAAAAATTCTGCAAAAAAAAAAACGAAGAACGCGTGTAAAAAGAAATACAAAAAAAAAAAGAAAATTATAACAAAACAACAACTACAAAATAAATAAAAATAAATGTAAAATACAGTGAGAAAAAAGTGTAAAATACAAAAAAAAAGTTGAAGGAAAAATATATATAAAACAACATCATCTTATTGTTATTATTATTTTCATTCTTGTGGTGTTATCTAATCTATAATAATTTCCATTTATTTAAAAAAAAAAATTTTTTCATATAAAGTTAATTTAAAACAAAACCCGCAAAAAAGTAAAAAAGAAAAAATAATTGTGTTTGCAAAATACAACAGCTGAAAAAAGAAAATCTTAAATAATAAATAAATAAATAAATAGTATCTTAAAGATACTTTAAGTGATTTAATTACATATAACAAAACCACATAAAAATGGCTAAAATTACAAATCAAACGACCAAATCAAATTACTCTAATAACTCAAAATCATCAACGACAGCATCATCACCCTACTGCGCCTCCTCCTCCTCCACCTCACTAACATCAACAGCTTTAAAAATTTTTATATTAACATTAATATGCCTCAGCCAATCAGGATTTGTGGAAGGACGTAAACATTCTCCTTTATTTGTAGAGGAGGCCGAGGGCAATCGTCGCAATAATAGACCAGCTGGTAAGTTTCCAAAAATAAATTTTCTTTTAATATTTTACAAAATTAAGTAAAAAATAGTTTTTAAATGCTTACAACCTTAAAAAAAATTAAACAAAATTTCTTTAACCAAACAACTAACAAATTTTGTTAAAAATTTTTAAAAATTTTAAAAAACTTAATTTTGAGAATTTTAGAAAAATTCAAAAATTTTCTTATATTATATGAAAATTTTTTACATCTTTAAAAATTAATAAAAATTCTTAAAATTAGTTTTAAAAAGAATTTAAAAAAAATCAAAATTTGTTGACTCTATGAGAAATCCAATTTTAGTAAAAAAATTTTAAAATATGAGATACACTAATTTTGAAAATTTTAAGAAATCAAGTCTTAATTACAATTTAAAAATTTTGAAAACTTTTATATTTTTGAAAAAAATTCATTAAAATTAAAAAAAATTTACAAATTAAAAAATGTAATAAAAACCGAAATTAGTTAAAGCAATAAGGAAGACGTTTTTAAAAAGAATTTAACAAAAAGTGTTAAAACTAAATTCTCAAAATTAAAAGAAATCCTAAATTTGTCTTAAATTTTTTTTCAAGAAATTTTTTTTTTTAAATTAATTAAAATTAGTAAATTTGTTTAAAATTTACTTAAATAAAAAATCAAAATTAGTTGAGAACATAAGGAATCAGTTTTTAAAAAGAAATTAGCCAAAAGTCTCAAAACAAAATTCTTAAAATTTTACAAAAAACAAAAATTGTTCTTCTTTATTTAATATTTTTTTTTTTTTTCAAAACATGGCATTAACTTTAAAAATTAATTAAAATTAAAAAAATTATTTAAAAATTTCTAAAATTAAAAATCAAAATTAGTTGAAGCCATAAGCAACCAGTTTTTAAAAAGAAATTAAAAAAAAGTATCAAAACAAAATTCTCAAAATTTAAAGAAAACTAACATTTTTTTCTTTATTAATAATTTCTTCCAAAAAAAAATCTTTAAAAATTAATGAAAATTATTAAATTTGTTTTTAAATAATTTAAATTAAAAATCAAAATTAGTTGAAGCCATAAGGAATCAGTTTTTAAAAAGAAATTAGCCAAAAGTCTCAAAACAAAATTCTTAAAAATTTAAAGAAATCTATCACTTTTCTTTATTAAATATTTTTTTTTTTTCAAAAAAATTCTTTAAAAATTTATTAAAATGATTAAATTTATTTTAAAATTATTTAAATTAAAAATCAAAATTAGTAAAAATAATAAAGAATCTCTTTAGAGAAAAAAATTTTAGAAAATTTCAAAACTCTAAATTTAAAAAAATTTTTTAAAAACAAAAATTATTTTTGTTAAATTTTTCAAAAAAAAAAAAATTAAAAAATCTATTAAAATTATTAAATTTAGTTTTAAAGAATTTTCTTTAAAAATCAAAATTTATTAAAACTTTAAGGTTTCCATCAACAAAGAAACATTTTTGTTTAAAGCCCTATAAAAATTCTTAGAAAATTATAAAATTTTCTTATTTTTGGTGTTTTTTTAAAATTTTTTTTTTTTTTTTTGAAAAAAGTTGAAATTTTCATTTTAGTCAAAAATTAAGAAAAATTTAAAATTTTTAAATTTTTTTAAAAGTTTTATAAAGCTTAATACTTTAAGTTTTTATAATAAAAAGAAAATTTTAAAATTTTTTTTAATTTTAAGAAAAATTTGAGAATATGCTTGAAAATTTGTGTTTATTCTTATAAGATTTTTTTTCTTATAAGTTTTGCTTAATGTTGCTGCAACATTTTTCTTGTGTGTGTGTGTTGCACCGGGAAGTGTGGGAAATTCCCACACTGTTTATGTTGACCTGTTGTTTATATACATTTATGACCTGACAGGTTCACAAAAATTATTTTACAACATGTTGTAAATTTTTAGAATATATTTCATATGTTGGTATTTTCGCAAAAATATTTGTGGCATATGCAACTTGCAAATTCCGGAATTTCCCATCATAATTTTTTGTTTGGTTTTTTACCTGGCCCACCCACTTATTTCTGTCCGTAGTGTCAGTGTGTATTTCTGGTTTTTTATCACAAATTTAAATTAATCTCTTAACATGCCTCTTTACTGATATATATATATATGGTCAATGTCATTTAATCCCTTAAGGATTAAGATTTAAAACTTACAACACAACAAGTAGAAGGAAGAACACACATTTTGATATTGTGGGAAATTCCTAAATGCTGCAACATGTTGTCCAACCAGCATGTTAGGAATTGTATAATTGTTATAGAAAATTGTAGGGGAAAAAATGTTGAAAGATTTTTTAGAGCAAACCTGAGACATGGAGACGTCTTCTTAAAGTAGAAAATGTTTGAAAAAAAGGTTTTCTTTTATGTACAATGGAATGTTTGTTTTTGTGTTAGAGGGCTTAAGAAAATCCCTGGTGCCAATTTGTCTCTAAAAGAAAGAACAAAAAATAATTTTCAAGAAAATTTTCTTTTCATTTCTATTGCTAAGCTGCTTAATATTTTAGGTTTCTAATAATAATACTTTGGGTTTTTTGTTGTTAATAAGGCAAAAAAGACCTTAATACTTGTTTTTCTAAAACAAGAGGTTTTTTTGAGGAGGATTTGCAAAAACCTAGATTTTTTTAGATAAAAAAGCAGCTGTTTTTCTTTAAAAGATTTAATTAGCAGGGTATTAAAAGCCAACAACAAAAATACAATTTGACCAACATTTCCCAAAAAAAAACCGCTCTAACGGAAGCTGCTTATTTAATTTATTAAAAAAAATAGTAACCAAATAATAAAATTAACAAATTTTAAAAAAAAAACATAAAAAATAACAGCCTAAAGTTATTTTATTAGGTTTTTTGTTTGTTTGTTGGCGAGACAGACAGACAGACAACTTGGCTTAATTATAAGTGATTTAAACATAAAACCCACCAGCTTTTTTTTGAGATTTTTTTTGAAGTTTATTTTTTTTTTTTTTTGTATAAATTTTAATTCATTGATATTTATTTTGTTTATATATATGTGGGCTTAGGCGTACGTCTACAGGTTTTTTTTTCTTGCTTAACAAAATAAAAGAAATAAAAATTAAATTTTAATGAATGAGATCTTTTAAAAAAAAAAAATGTTTGAATGAAGTTTTTTTTTAATGAATGAAAAATTGCAACTACGCACTTTTTTTGGGGAGCTTGGAATGATGTATGGGGTCTCAAAAAGAAAAAAATATATGTATAAATACGTTTAAAGGTATTAAAAAGTTGTTTTGGCGCTCTCTTATATATATATATATATATATATATATATATATATATATATATATATATATATATATATATATATATATATATATATATATAAAATTTACACCATTTAAGGCTTTTAAGGCGTCTCAAGTCTGTTAAAGTTTAAAACTTTGTTTTAAATTTAATTTAAATTTATTTTGTTTTAATTTTTTTTGTGCTATATGTAGGCAGAGGAAGCTTTCAATGCCCACTACTACTATAGGTGTCATAAAGCACCAAATAGTTTTAAATTTAATTATAGTTTTTTTTTTCTTTATTATTAATATTTATTAAAAGTATACTTGTGGTAGATGCTACCTTCTAGAGTTTTAATTTATATCTGCCACATTTTAATCCGTTTAAGTTTTTTTAAAACCATGAAGAGATTTAAAAAATAAAGAAAAAATTCAATTAAAATTTGTTAAGGATTAAAGAGAAAACTAGAAACATATTTTCAATTAAAATTTATAAGAAAAAAAAAGGAAATTAAAAAAAATTTATAAAATATTATTAAAATTTTTCTTTAATATCTAAAAATGTTTAAATAATTAAAAAAATGTTTTTGAAAAAAAAATAGTAAAATTTTTATTAAAGAAATCAAAATTTTTAATTAAAAATTTAAAATTTTTATTAAAAAAGTATAAATTTTCATTTAAAATTTTTATTAAACAAATTAAAATTAAAAAATAATTTTTAATTTATTTCTATTAAAAAATATTTAAATTTTATTTAAAAAGATTTTTTTAATTTCTTTCAATTGATTTAAAAATTTTTCTTAATTTTTAAAAATTTTTCTTAATTTTTAAAAATTTTTATTAATTTTTACAAATTTTTCCCAATTTTTCTTAATTTTTAATAATTTTTGATAATTTTTAAAAATTTTTCTCAATTTATTTTAAATTGTTTTAATGATTTTTAATATTTCTTATTTTTTAAACATTTTTCTTAATTTTTAAAAAATTTTCTTAATTTTTAAAAAATTTTCTTAATTTTTAAAAACTTTTCTTTATTTTTAAAATTTTTTCTTAATTTTTAAAAATTTTTTTAAAACATTTTCTTAATTTTTCTCAATTTATTTTAAATTGTTTTAATGATTTTTAATATTAAAAAAAATTTTAAATTATTCTTAATTTAAATTTTTTTTTTTTAATTTTTAAAATTTTTTTTTAATTTTTAATTTTTTTTTAATTTTAAAATTTTTAAAAATGTTTCTTAATTTGTTAAAATATTTTCTTAATTTTTTAAACATTTATTTTAATTTATTTTTAATTGTTTTAATGATTTAAAATTTTTCTTAAATAAATTTTAAAAATTTTAATATTTTTTTTTTAAATTTCCATTAATTTCTTAAAATGTTTATTATTTTTTTTTTTAAATTTGTATTAATTTTTTCGAAATTTTTTAAAAATGTTTATTAAATTTTTAAAATTTTCTTTAATTTTTAAAAATTTCTATTAATTTTTTATAAATATTTAATAAGTTTTTTAAAAGCTTTAATATATTTTTTTTAAATGTTTATTAATTTTAAAAAATTTTTTAAATGTTTACTATTTTTATAAAAATTTTAAAAATTTGTTTAAATGTTTATTAATTTTTTAAAATGTTTTTTAATTTTTTAAAATGTTTACTAATGTTTTAAAAATTTATTTTTAAAATTTCTTATTATTTTTTTAAAATTTTCTTTAATTTTTTAAAAATTAAAAAAAATATTTTTCTTTTATATATTTTTTTTTAATTTCCCTAAATTT